TATTAGGATATAAGGACCCTTTCAACATGATAAACAGCAGACCCTTATAACCTACTCGCAGGACTCGAATTAATCCCGATCAATCCAGCAACAATGGATACCACAATTTATGACGAAAAACCATGCAACGTACTTTACTGAACGGAACGCCATACACTGCAGGAAGTCGGCATCACCATCAAAGCAAAATATTTGACAAGTAAACCGTCGCAAACGACGACGTCCACGGCGTCCCTCACAGCACCTATGCAGTATTGGCGACTTCGGCAAGAATTACTTTGGTAGAGTGGCGCTCACCGATCGTTCTTACGGAACTCACTCGTTCCGTTGTGCCTTACGGGCTCTCTCTCGAGCTCAGCCATCAGCCGCACAGCGGCGCATGATATAGGCAGAATGTCATTACCGACGAAGACAAGGGAGACTGGAATGGCCATTTCCGGCTCAGTAGCCGTCGTTAGCCAGTCATACCCAGCCCCAAAGTGTGGAACACCTGGGGCTCGAACTAGCGATCTGTTAGTTAGAAGTCCACACCTCTAACCACTGAGCCACGGGTTCGTTTTCCTGTCAGTTGCGACCTGGTATATACAATAAAAGGAGGGCGTACACCGATCGCAATTCTGCCTATTTCCCGCGCCGCCGTGCGGCTTCTGGTTGCGCTCGAGAGAGAGCCCGTAAGGCACAACGGGACGAGTGACTTCAGTAAAAACCATCGGTAAGCGTCCCTTTAACATTGTATATTCCCAATCGAAACCGACAGGACAACAGGTCCGTGGCGCAGTGGTTAGAGGTGTGAATTTCTAACAAACAGGTCGTGAGTTCGAGTCCCAGTTGTTCCACACTTCGGGGTTGAGTATGACTGGCTGACGACGGCTAATAAGCCAGGGATGACCATTCCAGTCTTCCTTGTCTTGGTCGGTAATGAGATTCGGATAATTACAGACTAGGGGAGCAGATAGCACATGGTCTCCTCCTTCAATCACCATGCTCTGATGACGAGGTGATGCCAAGACGACTGGAGGTGGGCTCGGCTGCAGCCGCGGACAAGAGCAAACAGGTCATATACACGTACTGCACACGACCCCCTCCCCACTACATGCACCGGGCTCACTATAAGGGTGGGTTTGGTCTCACATGCGCGAAAACGCAACGAAGGCAACAGTAAGAAGCATCTTTTCTAGTCTGGCTCGATAGCTAAAAGGACCAAGTTATTGAGATACGTCATATCTATTATAGTGAGGGGCGCGCTAGGTTGTCGCGGGATTATAAACCACAGTTTCGACCTCACCCTCCCCTCTTTCGTGTACCAATCGACTGTCCGAGGCTGTCAGCCGGCTGATGGGATAGGGCGCAGCGATTGGCGAAACTAGGCAGCCGGTTACGCCTACAATACACGACATGGTCCCACCACATGCACCAGGTTGGGATAAGAATGACTTAGAGCTCACATCAGTGATGATGCCATAATATCCATGTCGGGAAGGAGTTATTGAGCTCTACCCTCAGTCCTTCAGTCACTCCTAAATATTCCCGTGAGGACCGAGTTATCCAGTCAGTTGGTAGTCACCCAAGCCTCGAGAATGGATACAAACACGGGTCCATCAGAGAGCTCAGGTTCACCGTCTGTAAATGACCATAGTCACGTCCAAGTTCTATATGTTTCCGAATGCGCACAAAGCGACAACTCACCGACCTCTTGGATCACTCAATGACAGTCAAAACGACAGTCAGACGAAGTGGTCATTTCGATCACCTGAGTTCCGGAATGCGGGTCAAACATCGTGGCCAGCTCGTTGGTGCAATTCTTGGGACAGTATAAAAGGTCAAGATCTCGATCGAAAGGGACTAATGTATCTTGTAAAGTCACATCCTTCTAGCATACTTCAGAGGTGTTGGCAGTCGAGAAAATTCGAATGGTCCCGCAGAAGAATATGATTGAAGCGAAAGCCACTTTACTACCAGATGGGCAACCTGGGCGTCTGTGTCCACCAAAACTCCGATTTCTAGCAGAAGCGATAGGCTAGCTGCTGGTTACCCAAGGAACCCACAGGTGGAGGATAGTGGGTCTTCAGCGAAGGTTAGATGCAAAATAAGCAAGCCATCGGATCTGGCGAATAAGCTGTCGCGGACCAACAGCGACGATGTTACGAGGGCGCGTAGGGCTCAGGTCTGGCACGCCGACTGCCTTATAAAATGCAACAAGGCCCGATGACAGTTCGACCGTCGTTGCCGACGTTGTCCACCTTGTGCTACACAGGAAGGCGAAAGCAGGTATGGCGACTTGCGTGTGAACGAGTTTACGGTGGTAGGAGACTTGTACAGCGTCTACCGCGCTCTCTCCTCCCCCGTCTAGAGCCAGTGTGAGGACATGATCAAGAAGACTGGAGGTGGATGACAGGGCAACCATACACACAACCTGTATATCCAATGGGAGCGTAGGCGCATCTACCGGCAGGGAACCAGATGCCAGAGAACTGCCAGCGTACACCAGCATGTGAGGGCCGTGGTTTGCTGAAACATGACACAGCAGACGTACACAACCCTTAAAGTCCGGACGGATGAGACTCAGTCCTTTATTTAACCCGGCCCATTATCCTTCAAAGACCGGGTAGCCAGCCAGTCAACTGGGGCGCACTATCCATATACACACAGACTCATCACATGCGTGGGAGTGCCAGGCGTCACATTAAAGAGGAGCCGTTGAGTGCCGATAACAGCACTGTGACATGGCGACCGCGAACCGCCGTTAAACAAGTTTGCTTGCCACCGTTGCCTAGTTGCTGTTATAGCGTCAAAGATCTACAGGAGTTAACCTCGGAAAAACAATCCGAGCGGCTGTTGGGGGGCCGGCCTGTGGTCAAAATCCTTAAGGATCGCGCAAACATATCGCGCAAACATAATGCGATGCTAGGGCGGCCTCGAGGACCGACGCCCTTCGCAAACCTGATTCACCGGCTCGGGTGAACCGTACGGGAGTTGGATTACTCGATGGGGAACCTACTTTTGCCATTTGGATGCTGAGATGTGCGAACGTTCTTGGACCATGGAGTCTAAAGGCCCATGGCTTCCATCAGTGCAACGTGTATATCCGCGTATCTCCGACCCAGGCGCTCGAGAAGTAAAGATCCCGGTTGTCGACTCCCACTTCGCCTTGCATCACAACGGTCCACAGGACTCTTCTACAGACAGTGTGATGATTGCCCTCTCTCAACAATTGAACTGTGCACTACTTGCATGGGAAACAGTCAATGATTGGATGACTTACGTGAGGCTGAATGATCACTTTACGAACATTCCTTTCGTCTCCATATAAGTACTAATATCAACTATTGACCAGCGTACTTGTAGAATTCAATTGAAAGACTCTAACACTGATTTACTGCCTGTTGTCGGGGATTTTACTGGCCAAACTGAGCTCGGCGATTCTTCAAATAGTCATCTTGTCGGTCGCTTTGATGGCAAGGACGCAGAACTTATCTGATCGGAATAGACTGTTTGTCATTGCCACGCGCTACTAGCACCGCCACGACCCATATGGCTCGCCAGACCGACTGCATTCTAGTTGGATTAGGGTACCGCAGCTGGGTTCGCGATAGCGGACCAATGTGTGGTAACGCTTATACGTGGGACCATGCTTTTGTTTGCACACGCCGGAGTCGTCAAGTGCAAGACACCCTGGTGTCTCACAACTTTCACAACTCAGCACTGCTGAGGTCCTATGCACGGAAATTCGACCTTGTTTTACCACCCAAGTCAAAAAAGAAGGCACTTGTCAATGCCCATAACTGAAACCAACAGTCTGTTGGGGGCGGCGGAGATGATCGATGGTATTGCGCAGGGGTACAGCAATGGCTGGGTTGGCGGATGAACAGTCGTCTGCCCAGACGGTTCGAGCCAGGTACTGTGAAAACTACCACAACATAAGCCTCATCGACGTCGCTATGAAAGTCCTCGCTGTCATCCTTCTCAGACGATTCTAGACTGCTGGTGACTCTAGGACAAGGCCAAATCAAGTCGGATTCCGAGCTGGGCGTAGATGGGCGGACCAGATATTAATACTAAGGCGCATTCCGGAATTTTGCCGTGGCTACCAGCAAACAGCGGCCGTCAGTCCTGTCAACTTCCTCGCTGTTTAATTCCGTCCATAATGAGTCCCCGAGGCGAACAATGGAACTAAATGGTGTGTTGACCACAATGATCGTCATGACCAAGGACCACTGCCGCTCCACCACTGAACGAGTTCACGGCCCTAATAATCGCTCCCAGCCGTCCGTCTGGTGTTCGACAAGGTTGCATCCTATCGTCCACTCTGTTTAACTACGCCATCGACCAGATTCTGGAAGGGCCATACGCAGTTTTCACAGAGCTGAGTTTCCCAGGCGCCGGTTGACGATATTGCCTTATTAGCTTCAAGTTTTGATGACCAGTAGGCCCTGGTGCCTAAAATAACTAGTGTTCCAAAAACCAAGAGCAAAAATCCGGGTCGAGGTTGTGAATATCGCCAGTGCCTGTGAATTCCGTTGTGGTATGGAGCTAATTTCTCATTCATTTATGATTGAGGAGGGGGAGATCAAGCGGTTGGTTTACATTCCTGAATCTACCAACTGGAAAGCTTGTGGCGATTCAACAACCAAAGCATCCTGAAAAGGAACGGAGAGCACGTAAGCCCTGAATTTCAACGGCAGACTCCCCCCCCCCTTCTTACCGACAACAGGCGCAGTTGCATGGACGACTGAAAACGATAATAAAGACCGCATCACAATTGTTACTTCAATGAATTAACGTGCCCATGGCGCGTTCGGCAATCCGATCGGTAAACACCAACACAAGGGCTACAAAAAAGTTCACTGAAGAGGCTAATTTATTACATCGGCTTTCCTGTTAACACGATTTGATGGGTGGCAGTGAAACAATACTCACAAGGCGTGGGATGAGAAAAACAAAACCCGGAAGGGAGGAAGGAAGAAAATAGACTACAGCGGTGAAGTGAGCGGAAGCAGGGGTCACCGGTACGACATGAAATGCAGCGGACCGTCACCAGGCATGCCCGGAGCCAAACCACAGGCGGCACCAGCCTCCATCAGCGGAAAAGCAACTCGATAACAAAGAAACCAGCAAGTGATGCCGAAAGCCGTGCCCAGCAATTTTGTCGGCATGGTATGAAAATAAACAATGGTTACAAAGAGCATAAAGTCCCAGAGGAGCGACAAACAAGCAGTAAAGGAGAAAATGACTCGCAAGTTGCGGCTCAGTCGAATGTACGCCGAACGCATGACTTGGAGGTCTCTGACAGAAACATTTGGCAACCCCGACGGCGTGGAAGAGTCCGAGGCGGATGTTGATGACGAGGGGAAATAACCCATGTCATCGTCTTGGGAGTCTGTATGTGAGTTGACGCCCAGCAATCCAGCAAGAACCGGCCAAGAACGCATGACTCGGAGTTCTTCAATGATCCAAAGGTTGCACATTACCAGCAAGAAACAGTGCCCTGAGATGTCGAAACCCATCCAATGGCCCTTTGACTGGCGGCAAGAACGACGAGAGAAGGGATGACCACCGGTTTGTGTCTTCAGCAAAGCCCCATTTTGATCATAGCACCGGCCAAAGGAAGCTTCAACGGTGTTGAAGAGACCCGTGAAGACATACCAGCAGGCAGAACCTGTCAACATCCGCATCATATGTGCCCGGATAAGGCGTTTGTTGCCACCGGTGTAGACATAAGTGGAGAGGATGACAAAAAGGCTGAGTGAGCAGAACGTCCACGCCCAGCCCCATTTTACAAACACTAGGTTGAAAACATTTCGCCTGTTAGAGAAGAAACATGGTGGCATTTTAACAAAGTCGAAAATGAGTGAGCCAGCAGCAGCAGCGCAAACGTAGATGCCTGCTTTGACGCTGCTGTTCACAAACATGGGCTTCTTAAGGAGGGAGAAGATGAGAAGACCGAAAAAATGCGCAGGAGTAGTGGGGCCGGGGATTGGTTGCCTTGGCGATCGAGAGGTGGAGTCGCTGCGCAGGGGCTGCGACCCACCTTTCCCAAACTTCCGAAGTGACGCGCCCTTCATGGACTGTACGTCACGCTGTGATGGATAGGTGTCTAGGGGATGAAAAAAGGGGGTCAATAGTTCGCTGAGGCAAGCTGAGAGCAATTCTTTCAACTCCTTCGCCAGCGCGCTTCCTCGGCAAATGCAATTAAACATCCGGGTAGAAAACAGTGCCGTATACGGCGACTACCTTAGTCACTATTAATTAAATCGGAAAAGATGAAGGTCAGATATGGTTATATATCCCCGCCTGAAGAAAACAAACCCCAGCCACCTGTAATACAGGACCAGTGGTAATAGGTTTTTACAGGTGGGTCCAGGGGACGCACAGGCGACGAGGTCAAGTATTTGTATGCAAAATAAAAGCTGCTGGGAATGCGCGGTTGTACTTTAAGTGGTTGAGAAATAGTTTTCCTAACCCCTGATCCTAACCCTAACTCTAACCCCAACCCCGACGGTATTGTGTTCCTCAGGTGGGGCTACATAACCACACACTACCAAGATGTACCTATTGCTAGCGGAATAATTAACAGAACCAAAAGATCCGTTTTCAGTAAGCAATGACTGTTTCATAGTTCATTGCCCATCACCCACCTCTTGGGCTTCCTTCAAGGAAACACAAAACATATAGGGCAACCGAAGTGACCATTCAACGGACCGAGGTGGGTGGGGGGGGAAGCATCACTGCCAGTAACAACGCTGTTCAGGGATGGCGAGTTTGTCCTATGCAATGTCACAGTTTTATGATAGAGCGATTCCTATCGTCCGATAAAGTTCTAGACTGGTCTCCGTGGCTGTCGAGGTGTAACATGCAGTCAACTTTCAAAACCGTGCGTTGAATAACTAACCCGATCTTAGCTTCGTTGATACATCTTGTAAGGCAGACAATCTCGATCAACTAGGCCGTAAACGCTGACAAACTAACTATACTAGATTTGCTCGACCATTTTTAACTTACCTACCGTCGTCAATCAGACTCACGACAGGGCCAGGATAGACCAGAGGTTGGAGCTCAGACTCTATTCATTAGGCGCGGAATTACACTATCAGAGGCCTACTCCATGTTTCTGACCGAAACCATAGACGGCGTGCCATAATCCGCGGCAAGTTGACGATAAGGAGATGTGGTACACGTTGTCAGCTCTGATTAACGGCTGATGTCGGTGATCGCATAACGACGAGTAATTTATGATCAATAGGTATTGCAGAAAGGGGCGAGGGCTAACTGGATGGCCATTTAAGGCCCATTTGTTGTCATCAGTCAGAGACCTTAAGCGAGTCAGTGAAATTAGACGACTGCGCAGCGTTTACACATTACCCCTCATGCGGCCTTGTGCGTAATCGACCTCTTGTCCGGTAGATGTTACTAGCAAAGACATGGAAGGGTCGCTTCCGGCTTAGTTTGTATCGTCAACCAGTCACGCCAGAACCTAGCGCTGCAAAACCCCGTCTTCTTTGCAACGCAGAATAATAATTGCGCGCCACTGTGATTACCTGCGAGGGTAATAAACACGAGTTTCAAGAACAAAGGAGAGCTGATAGACAGGCGAGCACCACTTCTATGTAACGGTTTACGAAGGTTACACTAGGCTAGTACAAAATGATTTGCTATTTTAGTTCTTAATTCCGAAGCCTCATGTGAGACAATTTTTTTTATCTAATTGGGACGACACTATGTGCCACTTAAAAAGAAAAATCTTGCTTTCGCATTTTACTCGTTTCCATACCAGGTTGTCAAAAGCAGATGTTAAATTGTAAATGAAAGGAACTTCGACAGACAACGGAGGACGCCGTCACGAGAACACGATTCAATAGTGTACCAAGAAGTTTCGTAACATAAACTTGAGCTTTTAAGATAAGTAAGGTCGGCGATGTCTTTCTGTCGTTGCAAACGTTCAGTTGAGAGAGATTGAGCAGAAATTGCATGAACAACTCAGCAAATAAAGAATGACCTACACCCAAATTAACTATGGAACCACTGTTTGCAACACGAACTACATCGGAATGGCGAAAAGATTGACAGATGGGTCCGAAAAAGCTAAACTAAAATGGACAGATTCGCCGGCACTGTATGATTTCAAAATTTCGTTTATGTTGTACGAACAATCTAATTTTTGCTCGGACTGCGGCATGACGAAGGGCGGCTCCAGTACGATGACCAACGGCAATTGGAAGATGTGTCTCGATATCGACTATGCGTCAAAACACAACAGCAAACTGAACTCGTAGGAAAAAGGCTATTGTGACTGTTAGGTGGTCTGAGGCCGGCAGCATTGATTAGAACTATTGAATCCAAACGGACCCATAACCAAGGAAAAGGCGATGGGCTCGAGGAAAATCATCAAAACACTCAGTTTTTGACCCATCAAGGAGGTTATATCATTCTCCATTACGGCGTGCAAAAATACGATTAAAGAGACGCTTCATTAAATATATGCAATTTGTCTCTTGCTAAGTGACTATCACAGTTCCATGCAAGGTAAAACCTCCTGCAATAAAAAAGCAGCTGAATAGGCCCTAAAAGTGCTCATAGGATCTAAGAATAAACAAAAGCTGGAAATGTGCGGATGTAAACAGTTTTTATTACGGTTACTGGAGTTCGTTACGAGTCATCATTTGAAAAGTATAAGTTATTTTGTACAAACCTCATAGGAAACCACAACGTTATAATAAATACGTTACTTGCACAAAGTCAAAGCTGGGTTCTAAATGAATGTTTAGTTAAAGTAACCCTATAGATGCTATTAACTGAATGCTCCGACAGACTTTGTAATAAAAGGATAGCCAGGGCACAGAATAGCGTGCGCACAAAAACCTAGTGATCGAAAATTCGCAAAAAAAGAGAGAACGGTATTTTAAAGATGCAAGTTCCTCTATTACGAGTCTCGACTCCTGTTACGACACCCGCGAGAAGTGACACACACTGAACTGGGTCAAAGGGTCAGATAAAAGGGGGACAAGAGGGCCTCTCTGGGCAAAAGGAAACTGAGCGTCACACACTGAAATGTGTCAACACTTCTCGCACCAACATCACATGGACCATGCAAACGTTGGTATAGTACAGTACTGACATTGCGGTCCTGAAGTGCCCAGCATTGACAGTTCAACTGTCGTTGCCGACGATGTCCGTGTGTTCCACAGCATAGTTGGCGCAGGAACGATGAATTGCGCATGAAAGTAATGGGAGTCTTGGGCTGTAGCGACCGCACTCTCGTTTCCTCGTCCTCCTGGACCCGAGGTCAAGACAAAGTCAAAAAGACCGGAGATGGGCTCGGACACATTGGCTAATGAAGCTAAACAGCTCGTATATGCAGGATTAAGGTAGTAGACAACGATAATCGCCTTCTACTGTACCGCAACAGTGTGGCTGACAAATTTGACTGACAGGGCGTTATAAGCACTCAGAGTGATCAGAGTGGTCGAAGTCAGCGGGTACCATGCTTGTGCTTGTGGCAGTGTCAGTCATTACGACGCACGTCTATGCGCTGGATGCTGATGAGATGCAAGAAGAGGCTCTCTGTAAGAAACTTCAGAGTATGGTCAGGCGTGTCCAAATAGGTGGTCTTGTCGTTGCGGCCATTTTAATGGCAGAAAGTGCAACTGAGATGAATCTACGACATGAGTCATCTGCCAGTACGCAACGGTAAACCGTCGCAAATTTTGTTTCGCCTAGATCCTTAATTCACACGAACCCCTACTTCTACCATCCCAGGAGACATTGTTACCTAACGCACAAATAAGACTGAGGTGCAAAATCAAATCACCTAAATAGTAGTGCGAGAACGCCAGACCAATTCGTTGCCACTCACATGGGGTGTCTTGAGGGTGGGGCATGGTTACGGCTAAGAAGCCATGGTTGGAAGGGCAGAACATATGAAGAAGTGCAATTTCCACTGTCCCAAGGATCCGGACACTGCCACAGGCTTCCGTTTAGCTATCACAACCATCTTGCCCAAATGGGTCGCGTTTCAAGTGTCCTCAGTTAAAACTAAATGACGCTAACTAAAACAGGCTCCTCAAAATATCTCACTTGAGGTGACGGGTCACAGCAGACGTCGCCAGAGTTAGGTTTTTATGGAATGGCTGACAGTGTAAGGGCCGTTTTTCTTCATGACGATCCTAAGTTCACAGACTTGGATGTCAAGACCACATGCTCTCCGCGGCACGACCGTAACGAACTATGAAGCAGAATCGTCTGACATTTGGAACTCACTTTAGCCAACGATTAAAAGAGTTCGAACCAGATTCTTAAGATAAGCCACCGCTTTAATCGAACTGCTTAAACGATCAGAGACAATCGGAGTGCGCTAACAAAGTCGAAGTTGGCATCACCATTCGCATAGGAGGAACATTTTTTTCCGTTTCCAAGACCCAGACTCAATTTCTTCAGCCTGGCATCCGGATATGACTGAAACTTCGGGTCACCATCTGCGGGGGTGCTTAGTGTGATGGTGAAACTAAGAAGGAACAAAGCACCTAATGAGGCCGCCCTTAGGCGAAAATTCGAGTACTATTTGGTAGCAAGTCCACCGGGTACGTGACGTTTGACTGTAATCTGGGAAGAAGAGGCCACACACAGAGACCGGAGCTATGATGCTGTTTCGTCAATCTTCATGAAGAGCAAGACAGTTGCACAAATACCATCATGACAACAGTTTTGCCTGCCATGCTGCAAGTCTTCGCAATTGTTTTCAATCGCTTACACTTGCACAGCAACATGCCGAGCGGAAAAAATGCCGCTTTCGGCGGGAGATGTCTGTTAATTAGCACTTGTCGCTGAACCAACCGCCACTACTGCTAACAGTTCATTTTAATCCTTCAGTGTTACCCCCGGCGTCAGTCAAATTAGTGTTCAACTGCGTCATTGACTACACTTTCCAACACGTGCAATTAAATCAACCAATGTAACAGCATGTTGTGAAATGTATTATAGGCGACATGGTCCTACAACGGGCCACGCAGATGCGTTGGACCAACACGGGAGCTAGATTACGGTTTGATACGGGTTAACCGAACTGCGCAGCTCACGCACCCCATAAAGACTTCCTAATGTGGAGATTATTGTGACGCACCCAAGTACGGGCTCATGCCGCGCCAGCCACTTGGGCCCAACTTTCGAATTCGATGACTGACCGCCTCGGATGGTGGGCTGATGATTGGCAGAGGGAGGAGAGTGAGGCCGAATTTGGGGACTACGTCCCCTCGGCACTGTAAACAATCTAACGCGCCTTTAAACAACCACGATGCGCAAAAACGTTGTGGCATGGAAGACTTCCAACTGAGAGGTTGAGTCGGTCCTTTCAAGACGGAGTCAGACTGCAATGGCCCCTGAATGTTATCCTTATAGCACTGCCACCCAGTAGGGATCCGAGCTGACCGCTCCTTGTTTCTCATAAAACCCGGCGTAGCGTGTGCGGCACGCGTAGACGGGTTGTTTAGCCTTGTCAGCCTGCCTCCGGTCTTACTGACTCTTTCTTGACACCGGCCCATGAGGGTGGGGATGGAGTGTGTGATATATTCTGCGCAAGTCACTATAAACTAATTCACGCGTAAGTCACCATCCCTGCGCCGGCCATGTTGCGCGGCACACGGCTAACATCATCCTTCGTAACGGTCGAACTGGTAGACAGCATAACGTAGACGAAGTTTTGAAAATGATATCGATTTGCGGCCAGAATGACAGCGGAAGGCTAGTACTTCTAGCTGTTACGCTTGTTAGTATGTCCGATCCGCCTAGCTTTAATGTTGCTAATTGAACTCCTTCACACACGACGACCAGTGCCACCGAACATTGATAGCCCAGTCTACTCTTCTCCGGGAGCGAAGAGCATGTACCAGGGGTCGCCTTAATGTCTCCATAGATTGTGTCGAGTCAGGTTTTTAGCTGATCTCTTCCACACCTCCAGTCAAACAGCTGCGTCAGATTTAAAACAGCAGCACTGAACTCGTCAGGCGGGCGATAAAGAATGTGCTCATACCATCTCAGTCGTCTTTTTTGCATGTCTCCAGATATTTACACGGCGTGGTCCCAGTGTGTTCGAATCTTTGTTGAACACGAAGTTGGTGTGCTGGACTATGTGGACAGTTCATTGGGAAGGGTGGTCAAAAGTTTCATTTTCCATACACAGGAGTCAGAGGGAGAAGGTGCCGATGCAATACAGAGGAGGTACAAAAATAAGGCGTCCGGAGGGGACGGTATTCCAGCTGAAATCTAAAAGTCTTGTGTTGCCACTCTGGTACACTGGCTCCAGGGGGTGACTGAGCAAGCGTAAGGCGGTGAGGTCGTCCTGGTGACTGGAGCTGGAGCATGCTTGTGCTTGTCTTCAAGAAAAGAGATATGACCAAGTGCGAGAACTACCACAACATAGGCCTCGTCATCCTTCTCAGACGATTCCAGACTGTGCGTGACTCTAGGACAAGGGCCAACCAAGCCGGATTCCGAGGTGGGCGTGGATGTGCGGACCAGGTATTCGTACTGCAGCGCTTTCTGGAACTCCGCCATGACTACCAGTAATCGACGGCCGTCTGCTTTGTTCACTTCACTAAAGTGTTCGATTGTGTCCACTGTGAGTCCCCAAGGGGAACAATTGAGCTAGATGGTGTGCTTGCCAGAATTATCGTCATGATCAAGCTTTACTATCATTCCACCACCGCGCGAGTTCCCGTCCATGAAAAGCTCTTCCAAGTGCTCGATATTTAACCTGGTGTTCGACATCATTACATCATGTCACCCATTCTGCTCAATTACGCTATCGACTGGACTCTAGGAAGGAGCCTACACAGTTTTTAACAGTGTGAGGGTCGCACCCGGACGCTGGTTGACTAATCTCGACTATGCTGACATCGCCTTGCTAGTCTCAAGCTTTGGTGGTCTACAGTCTGTGGTGTCACGGGTGAATGAAATCGCTACTTCAGTCGGCTTATCCATTAACTCTGGGAAGACCGAATTGTTTTAGAGCTGCATTCCTGACCAGCATAGAGTACCCCTCCAGATTAACGGGTGTCAACCTGAAAAACTAGACTTTCAAACACCTGGGGCGAGACTACTGCCCATTGGACAAAGTGAGGACAGTATTGTCTTCCGAATCATTGTGCTCCAGAGTTTCTAAATCCCTAGAAAGTGCCTATGGACCCGACATCTCCATCGCCGCTAAGATCTGCATGCACCGTCGAGCCGGCCGGTCAGTCCTTTATGGTCGTGAATAGTGGACCTTTGGCGTGGAAGATGAGCGAAAACCAGAGGCATTTGAGCGCCGATGCCCGAGGACCATCCTTCGAGTAAAATACACCCACTTCCTCTTAAATGGTGCAATTCCCATTCACTGAGACAATATTGCAAGGATGTGTCGGGCCATCCAAGAAAAACGACTTCGGTGGTCTGGGTAAGTCCTTCGTCGTCCGCCTCAAGGGCTTAGTGTTACTGCCCTCGATCAAGCGCCGTCTACCATCTGGAGGCGTCGAAGAGGAAGTCCACTCAGGACATGGCTCGACACAGTTTGTCAAGATATGAAAGTGGTTCTTCGACCTTCAGCACTCGGTCTCCGTGGCTGGAAAAGATAATGAGTCGAACTGTCCAGATCAGCTGTTGCAGACCGTCAAGCGTGGAGAGGTATCACACGTGACATCATCGAGGGCCAGCTAAATGAGGAACGATCACAGTCGTACTAAGTACAAGTATATTCACAAATATACAGGAAGACTGACCAAAACGGTGTCCGGTACGCGTGCGCCTTTGTGGTGATTTGGATATTGGGACGTGCCTTTATTTATTTTCGAACGCCCGTAAAACTGCAAACAGTATCAATTTGAGCGACGTCGTCCCTGATTTATTCAGTCCACGGTGGCCTGTCCCCCGTAAATTTGAAACTAACCACTCCTTCAAGCTGACCTACTAAAAACCAGATGGGAAACATTATGGAGCCTCAACCGAAGCTCGGCCGAATATCGCGCGAGTGGATGGATTGCTGCTGTCTAAAGCCTTGCACTAGTGTGATCGCAAGCTTCGATCGTAGAGAGGGTTTTCACCGGCATACTGTCTAGTTGCAGTTTTCACCACAGAGACTGGTGGTGGGCGGGACAGAACCTGCAATGGCCGGCAAAGCTGATGATTGCCAACTTCCGGCGCCGTAATGATTGAAACAGTCAAAGAACGTTAGAGTTATCTAAGGATACGACTCATGATAGATCTCGCAACAGTGACTATTTCATTAAGTTGCACAAGATCAGTGAAAGAAGTGCACAACTACCATAATACTAAAATGGTGACATTAATAGAGTGACTTCCAAACATCAGTGGCACCCGAAAACCCCCAACTTACTGGCCAAATTGGTGGTAGATAACTCCAGACACAGTAACCGATTGATGTGAGGGATGAATTTATTGTAGACAACTCGGTTAACGATGAGCTTTCACACGAATGCTTGGGGAACCTCCCCAGCCTCGGTGGCCAAGTCCCTACCCGCTTTCCATAGCGGGGTTTCATCTTTCTCCAGCCTATACTGTGTCGCCTGACCATTGCAGGAATAACTCACAGCTGCAACACTGATGTGCAATGGGGCGCTCGGAGAGGACGGCATCCCCACTGAGGTCTGCAGGGCCTGCGTTGACGCTGATATCCAGGCCTAATGAGGCAATTGACCAGGCTTCAGTAGGTGAAGTTCTGCGACTCTGCCATCCTTGCTCTTGACTTCAAGAAAAAGGGATAAAACAAAGCGAAAGAACTACCGTGACATAAGTCTTATCAACAGTGCTGCAGAGGCACTTTGCGGTAGCAATATGTGCATGACTGGACGATGATAGTCAACTAAGTTGAGTCACTAGCGTCTATCGGTCCATTTCAAAGTACATGAAACAAAAGATGGCCCACGAAGTTCAGGAGAAAATTTAGTCCAAGGCTGATAAGATTAAGTAAAGTACCAACACGAAGCCAAGCATCAAAAAGAACGTGTCATATAAGGAGAGCTGTGCGCACGACTTCCCAGTCTCTGAAGATAAGTTGACGGTGCAACTACTCGAAACGTCAGACCTCTAGATCTAATAAACCCCTCCCCGTGAACACCTCTTCTTTTGAAGCCCAGAGGGTTCAGTGCGGCCCATTCTGCTAAGCTCGGTCAGGATGTCAATGTTCTCCAGGTCCTCTTGTTCAGTGCATAGGGAAGAATACTTCCTCATGTACCTAGGTGACCACACAGATCGACTGGACCACTGATAAAAAAAACAGTAGTTAGTTCAGCGGCCTTGATAGGATCGTACATAGCTGTGGGTCTATATGGTTCAGAAAACATACGTGAGAATACAAAGACAAAAAGTGCTGCAAATGCCAGAGCAATTTCCGGCCTGTGCTTTAAGTAAAGGACGCGGAAGAAAATGAATGTGCAAATATTATGATATCAGATCAAGAAAGGTTGAATGCCAGGGTCGCTAGATCGGCTAGGTAAAACAAAGCAATAAAACAAGATAGGCCAAAAAGATCACGCGTCACCGAACTACAGAAGTAAAGGGAAAAGCGAATAACAGTAATCAGCCTAACCAAGACAGCCAACGGCAGGAGGGCAGGGAGTACCAAAAGTCCCGGCCGGATAGCGACTATTTAAAGGACATTAACCTTGATGTTAATCATCCTTTATCCACTTATTTATAAATTTAAATTGCAAAAAAATATGTTATTGGTGTCCGAACATATTTTGTTTAAGTTGACCTAAATAGAATCGTTACATGCGTTGAATCCCGGTGCTGCTCCGCGCTTAAGGTGTCTACCGAGTCATCTTATGCATGGGTGACATCGATTATTCACGCTGTGATGAGCAACAATCTTCAGTCAATCATGATTGATTTAAAAAATGCGACTGATGGGCACGATAATGTAGGTTCTGGCCTATAAACGCACATTGGACACGTTCTTTTCTTGCGTGCTTGTGCTTATTTTCGTGATAGAACTGTTTAAGGTTTTTTTTAGAAAGATACCCGCTACTTTGCATTCATTGCTGACTGCCTGATCGCAAAAGAAAATAAAATCCGTTATCATAATGATGCCTACTGTTTTCTTTAAGGTTCCAGACTATCGTGTTGTAACCGACGCCTTTAACCAATCCAATTTCTGTTTATTGGCACTTCGACGGCATCGGTGATCGTCTGCTCACTCGACAGGGTCAATGCCGTCATCGTAAACTAGAGCATAGTGTTCCTGGCCTTCAGGGCTTGCCCAAAGTAACCTTGTTACAGTTCGTGGTCTTTCTGAGCCTGGCTTTGCTGACTGACAATTCTGCGCCTCTCCTACGGCATTCGACTGCGACACTAACTATGCTTGCATCAGCTCCGTTTTATATAACTGAACGAGATTTTGCATCGGGTTAATTGGCCCCTTTAACGACATATCGCTAGGATGCTGTAAAATGAGGAGTCTTTCGCAAAATGAAACTCAAACCGGTACCTTTGTCGTAGCCGCAAGCGGTTCTGACAACAGCACCATGCCTTTGTCACTGAAGCTTGTTTGAGCTATACGCTCCCAATTGTGGAAGAGATGTACGTGTACCTCTCCTGCGGAGAGCTAAAATTCGTGAATATTTCGCATATGCAGACAGTATGCGGTTTTTGAACTGATTTATCTCCCTTAGCACATGCAACAGGCGATTGAGTAGCTTTAAATTTAACCAATTTAAGGTTTGTAATTGCACAGAATAAAGTCATTTACAGTTGCGAAAGTCGTTACTCACTTCTTTGCTATAATAGTTTCTACCTTCATATGGCGACGTCTAGCAAATCCATGACCTCTTGGGTATGCAGGCTTTAGGTTTTCGGTATTTTATCTCAGGCTTCCAAAGCGTTAAAAGCGTGAGATAACTGGTCGAGGGCCAAAGGGTTTTGGTCGCGCTTAAAATCCTGGCGTTTGCTGCCCTTAGGCGTCTTTCTGTGCCTCGGAATAAAAATCCTGCTTAGTGACCACGAGGCTCAAGCGGGGACAGCCACCGTCTGCTAGTCAGGCGCGCACTGTTTGCTCATCTGCGTCCGAGTTCACAAGTCTGATTTCATTGGATCTAAAATTTGCGGACCTCAAAACTTATATGTGTTTTCCGTGTTTTTGTCTAATGCCACCTTTTCCTTGCCCGCTTGTCCCGTTTGGACTTCCTCCTAGCTGTAGAATGGTCTGTGCTTGTCAGTTTTGTGAGGGTGGATTTTCAATTCGCTTACTTTTTTGCGGGGGGATTTTAAACGTTATAATCGCTGAGTCACTGCTGGTCAAAAACGCATTTACGTCGTGGACACGATTTACATACGGAACGCACCAATGCTACCATGTCCCTCGGCCTCGCTCACTTCCCTTTTTCGGTGGTTTAATTGGCTTGGCGCTTTATTTTTGCCTACTCCATTAAGTACACTTGAAAATGCCCTATCCTTCATTTATTGCAACCGTTTAAAATATCTAGTAGACGACCATTTGGTCTGCAGCTGTAGAGGTTGTTGGTTTCATTCCTCAATAGGTGACCCCTCCGATATTCAAGGATTTGCTGTGGTCTATAATCCATGATATTACTGTCACGTATCTCTGCCTCTGAGCTCGGTTGGCCGACGTGAGTGTTTTAGCATTTGCGTCTCCCCTCTTGTTTGGAAGGCTGCTAGCCTACCACGCCTTTTAAGGAATAGTATCTTATAAACGTCGCATTCTATCCCGATGTTCATCGTCGGACAGCTGCACGTCGTTAATGTCTTAGGGTTTCCTGGCCGCGATTCCTCTCCTGTGGCCATGGAAGCGGAAGATGTTTACTACCAGCTGAGTTTGCTTGAATAAGAGGTGAACACTTAGTACGCTGCCGCATCAGGAGAGACTACGTGTATCTATGATCGTTCCAGCTGTCTGAAAATCTTCGTGCAGTCACATCGAGCCTTTGATCAATACTTTCTGCTCTTGCGTGCATGTCGTCCTGATTGTTGTTTTTGGACATTGCCCAAACTGATGTGGCCCTACTGACTTAATTCCATTCCTATGAGGTTTTTTTTAGAAACAACCCTTATTGTTGTCTAGTCGACAATGAACTCACATCATAAGCTAACAAATACAGAGTATAAAGTAACTCGCACTACTAATGGACGACAACTCTGTTGTATGAGCTGTCAAAATAAGGAAGATTATCGTTTTCATTTCGTCTTGCTGCCGTTGCTGCAAGTTTATACGAGTTTCGTAATTCCCTGCGGCTTAGTTGTCACCTTATACGTCCTTTCCTAACTTGGCTATCAACCGGGCGTATGACTGTCTCGCTAATCTTTGCCAGATTACATCGGGATTTCAAATTTTGCAAAGAAATGTTGGGAGCCACGGGTTTATTTGACAGCCTCGGCACCGTTTCTTAAAGCTTATTTTATTATGCCTGTTGGGCTTATCCCCTGTCTTGTTCAGAATCGCAGGCCCACACGAAGTGCTATTTGCCAAACACTACTCGGCGTGGAGCCTTTTACGTGCTGATTTCCCTTAAAAAATCAGCCGGCTCGAGCTGCCGTTTGTCTCAACACTTCTAGTTAGGTAGCACATCCACGGTAGAGTTAGGAAGAGCTGAAGATTCAGGCGAAAAATCTACGATGGTCTGAGTACGGGGTTATTGTTGAATAACGTAGATAATCATATCTTTGGAAACAATTATGTGCAGTTCGCTTTGCTTTCGGTGTGAGTTGCGTCATTACTCGTCAATCTGACAGCCCCAGCATGTCATGACCGGCCTTTCATTGAAGTTGATTCTTAGGCCCACTATATACACGGCCCATGCATCTAAGGCTGCCAAGTTTACCTATTTGGTCTTGATAAAATGCGATTTGGTGGATTTTTCTGCAAAGATTGTGTTCTATTGTAGGACCCATTTAATGTTCTTACCTGGGATACATTATCTTTGCTGCCTCTTAGTAGACGCATCATCCAGAGAGTCTGTAGAAAAGGCCCATCCTTCAAACCAGGACTAGATGTGAATGGCCGAGACCCCCGTTGTCGTATATACGGTGACCTACGCTGTGTACAGTATAAGATGCCACTCTAGAAGTTAACTGAGTCCTTTATTTATGCTTTCTGTTATTTCGAATTCTCTATGGTCGCAGGAGTATAAAGACCCTGCCTAGACCTCTGGAAACGCCCGGATAGCTATTAGTTTATTTGTTTTATACTTAGAAATCCCTCTGATAATCTAAAATCACCTGTACCAGCATGGGTATGAAATGCGAAAGTGATCTATCAACCACTTGTATGACAAAGGTCAAAACCATGTAGGATGTTAGTCAAACAGATGACTGAGCCGGAATGGAGCGACCAGAATAACTCAAGTTGGCTGTATAGTTAATTATGAATGAAAGTTGGCCATTCGGGCAGGACAACACGGTTTACCAAACTTTGGGTTTTGAGTTCTTTTCTGCACACAAAAAGTAGTCAGAGGTGTCGACGATTCAGAAAAACTAGAGCTGTACAACGTTGACTTGCCTAGTAGACCTATCACCACCACGCAAAATCCTCTCTATTCCCTCCCAACTGTTCATGCCCCCTCGCAAGACTGACTCGTATTCAATGCAACTAGCCACCCTGCTCTCCTAATTTAGTCTGGCCAGCCCCTTTGGCACCCCTCTTTTGGCCAACTCACGTCTGATTCCCATCCCATGACATTTTAACTGTTGTCAGGCCTGTCCGTCCGAGAAGTTTTTCGCATTTCGTGCTCACGGTAGTATAAATATGCAAGAATGGTTAGTGGCTGATTAAGGCACGAAGCCAGGTGAACTCATTTGCTCCCTCCCCTTACCCATTCCAGCTTTACTCTGATTTAGCAACATAATTGCAGATTTTTTAAGTCCTTCAGTCTGGGAATCATTTCTACAGCAGTGCGTTGTGTGCCTTCTTTTTGTTTCGATAGAGCTCACCCGTTAGAATGCCTTGTATATCCGAAAAACCTATCCCACCATAGACCATGAAAATGTGTCTTGTTTAGACCGACTGTTTTATGGCCAAGTTTCCACTTTTGACTTTTCCAAAACAAGCTCGGTGATTGTACGTCGTAAGTAACATAAATCGCCAGTTGCAAGCCTACTCGTGACTTTGTAATTTGTGATGCGGCCACATCTGCATCACGACGTTTAGCACCCACGTTCGACTGAGAATATTGGAGGGAAATGCAAGTTGGGGAAGAAGTAGTAGATGAGTGGTCGTTGTGAGGGCTGCCGGTGAGACCAAATTTCTTTACGAGGACACGCAGAAGGTCCATCACACCGGCATTTGTCTTCAGGAGGTCCCTTTGGGAATGAAGAAACTAGATAACCTGTAGGTCAAGAATGTGGCGAATGGGCTCCGCTCCTCAGATAGGCCATTTAAAATATCCGTCATTGCTGGCCACGAACAATTTCAGTCATAGTATTTAGTTAACGACAGTGGCGCCTCTGCATGGCCTCTTCTGGCAACTCCATCTGTCCTTTCACTTACACGTTTGGCAGTTTGCCCCAAGCCTGGACGTCATTGCAGATTTTACGTGAGACGTGAACTCTAAACTACGGTAAGGCGGGCATATGGGCACCGCCAAGGGTTTTGCAGCCTGGATGAGCCTCACTCGCCTGGTTTGCAGCCTTAGTCTACCAAGTTAGCGATGACTAAATCCTTTCAGTTATCCAGATCTATTCACTTGACGGAGTCTCGCTAGTCTCGGGTGGAAGGGTTTTCCAATTCAATTTAAAATAAATGCCTTGCATCGTGAGAGTGGAAGGCGTGCTCTCTCAGATCTTAGCACAATTTCGACTAAGTGACATTAGTTACACTCGTCTGTTGTTCGACGTGCGAAAGTACGCTTTTCACTATTTTATACAGTTAGCTCTTCTATTGGAGAGAACTCGATTGCAATATATCTATGGCCAGCAAAACTGCATTGTTAGTTTCTCGAATTCGAGTTTCCAACTGTTTGTTGACACACGGCGCGGCGGGGTTGATGCTGTTTATTTTTTTTACAGATGGTGGTGGTAAAATATCCTGCTTAGGGATTTCCGATGTTCCTGGGCCAGCACATGGGATTCGCCTCTTTTTTCTTGAAACTTGACGCTCTGTCACTGCTTTTGGTAGAGTAAAGGCTGGGGGAGAGGTTGAGTGAATTCCCAAATATTGGTAGTCCTCTCATGTCAGTCTCTAAAAAGGAAAAACGCCATAGACGCAGCCTTTGTTTTTTCTATAAGCATGCAATTTAATCGCGTCGAAATGTTATTTGAGGTGCCTTAAAAAGTTACTAATCACTTTCGTTGGCACCTGGTGTAGAAAGAACGGCAAATAACCGCCATTCCGAGTATAAAAACCACCAGCGAATCCCCTTGAGGATTTACCATTGCAAAAGCTAAAACCTGTTCAATGTACCGAAGGAAGTCATTGCCGGTTACATCTGTAATTCTAGTATATGCGGCTTAGGCGCGTTGCGGACATCATCCATCAACTAACAGGATGTGAGGACCGTCATCTAGTGGGTGCTTGGCTGTGCTCGAACTCGGAGGTCTGGGTGATATTTTCGAGTCCCTCGTCCGCGTCGAATAATGCCAAATCTATGATCAGACGGAATTTACAGCGGGCCGTTGCTTATTTGACCACATATTCGCACCACGAGACCCGACTATCGTCTCCTCTGCACACACATGACACTGGTCGTTATCTACGATTTAATGGCGGCTTTATAGTGCCCCACTCCCCTATCCTACAGATTCCAGGTTTCCGAAGGCGGTGTTTTGAGAGCAGTCCGTTGTTCTGACTCACAGCCGTTTACCAGGACTGTTGTGCCCACCATTGTTTTTCCTCTCTGTTATTGATGTTTTTTCGATAGGTTGTTAGTTTTACGGGGCTTGTGGGGGAATTACTCCCGGTTTGATGACATTGTTCTATTGGACAACACTATAGTCCGGTACAGTCTCCCTTTTCGCGTACGCTTTCTATGCCGCAAGTCCGGCGTCCCATGTATAATACGTCTAAAACAGACTGGGACGTCTCAGGACTGCTGATCTCTATTTTAAATCCTGTCTGTGGTTCTCGAACTTGTTGCCGTCTTACATGGCATAAAGACATCTAAAAAAATTGTTGGGAACTCCAGGCGCGATGGTGCCATCTTATCTCAGACCAGGGTCACCACTAGCTCAGGAGAGACTACATTAGCGCTTGTCAGTACTTGTCCTTCCTGGCACCTAGTGGTTGTTTGCCAGGCGATTAAAACCGTCTGCATCAGGTCACTCTTGGACGGAACGGCAAGCTGTATTGTGGCCCCACACACGTGCAAAATTAGTTGTTTTATCTCTGGACTCATGCATACATGTTCCGTTCATTTACGAAGGACTGGATAAATTTCCCCCACAGTGTCCATGGGTACAGAATGTGGAATTAGCTACAGAATGCAGAAGTTCAGCTAGAACTCAAACATGTCGGTCCGTCTCGCCAAACCCATCACTTCGTCACAGTATTGCCACTCCCTACTTACTGCAGTAGGTTAGGGCCACGAAGATGCTGCAAACTCCGGTGATTTCGTAGTAAAAAGTGCCATCGTTGCTGTATGAAATCCTAAATGTCAAACGCTGCTGTACGGGGACAGACCAAAACGGTGACAATACCTGTACTTATTTCTCCGCACAACCTGGTCTCCGTGGATTGGGGCGACAACGTCCGTATCTGTTGAAGTCTTGTTTGTCATCTGCTGATGCCGCCTAAAATGTTAAAACGCCAGTTTGTATCGTATATACACTGGGTTGTCAAAGCATAGTAGAAGGGTTTAAGCCACCATTCGAAGATTTGGTTTTATATCTAGAATGAGTTGTATTTTCAAGGTAACAGTCAGGGCTTAAAGTCAGACATGCACCGTGGTGGTCCATTTTTCAAGTGTTCGTTTTGCAGAACTGAGTCTTGGACGCCGAACCTCAGTTATTAGTGAAGAATGCTTACTCTGTCGTTTTGCTGGCAAGTACTGCTTTAAGGTTTGATTTTATCACTAAATACTGTTGTTCAATTTCTTAGGCTTCAGTGCCGTGTTTTGCTCTTTTCCGTTCATGACATACAGGTGATCGACGTAAACAGAATCTGTAAGGCTATCGACCGACTTGAGGTTTTTCCAATGTCCATGGTTCAGCTGCAGGAGACGCGAATTGGTCAACTTTTGCAGGCTATTCGTCATAAAGTGGAGCTCACTCTCCAAAAGCGCATTCGTGCCATCATCAAGGCCTGGCAAAAACTGCTCTTACCAGGACAAGCCCACACTACTATCATTCCCCGGCTGGTCGAAAATCGTCCGCTTAGCTCTGTGAACCTCACAGAACATCTGATTTGCTCAACTTCATCCCCTTCAAGTATAAACAACAGTGTCAGCAGCAGTGTAAACAACCTTGACCGTATCCCTGCTGACCGTGTCACATCAACCACCCCCAGATCCTCCTCCGTACCCCAGACGGCAGACGAGCGTGCTGGCGGCACACCCGATTTAAGCCACACCAGGCCCTCTTATCCCTCAGATCGGGCACCCCTCACGCTTTCTAAACACGCTGACCCTGACGTGGTCAACCGTGTGTTGCGGGAGCCTATTCCAACCCCGAAGACAGCTACTACCCCTTCAGGTGCAAACAAGCATGTCCTGTCAAAGGCCAACGGCTCTTCCCACTTGGTTGCATCACCAAAACTTAACGGCCAGACTAACAGCAGTTCGATTTCCAGACCGCTCCACACCTCCGCTCGCCACAATGCCGGTCCTCCGCCGGATCTATCGGAGACGACGTCACATGACCGGCGTGCTCCCACAACGGCGACAACTCATCACAGGCTGGCCAAGGTTAAGTCGACAGCAGAGCTCATCCGAGCTGCTGAGGGCTGTCTGGATTCAGTCACCGTGGACCGCATCCTCAGCAACCGCATAGCCAAGGAGAGCGATGAACCTCCACGTGTAGTCCCACCAACGGCTGTGCGCTCTGCCCGCCATCCGAAAAATGTCCCGCACTCTGCATCAGTGTCGCAAATAAACAAGTCGACGACAGCGACTGCGGTTGGTCGATCGTCAGGTGACGTGCCCACAGCTAAGTCAGAAATGATGGCCAAATTCCTCGAGAGCACAGTCATGCATCATCAGCAGACAGAAATAAAAACCCGAATCCCCGAGTTGCCGGCTTCTGTCGGCGCCGGGGGCAGTCGAATTGCCTCTTCTGCTCCAAGGTCACCGTCTGCTCACGAATCCGACAAACTCGTGTCCACTCCACAGCATGTTGACTCAGCCTATTCTGGCGATGATTTGGATGCAATGAAGAGGCAACACAAGGACAGAAAACGACACAAACACCGAGGAAGGCACCATGATGACGCAGGCGGCAGTGACCATGTCTCTAGACACCATCGGAAGCGGACTACTACCACCGCGCCCCCCATTTCCAATCGCATGAATGAGTGGCCAGAGCTGCCTCCCCTGCCGAGCGATGTCGAAATGTCGACTGCTGCTGCGGACGATGACATGAATGCACCTACTAGTCCAGAATTGCGAGATATAAGTAACGTTGATCGCCTCATGTCGGGGTCTTGGCTCGGTGTGAATTCCGTCCTAGACGGCGAACAAAATCCCCAGCCAATGACAGCACTCTACTCGGTCGGCCTGGATGAAGATAACTTGGTGCACGTTCTGCCCTGGGTCAATTTATACGACTACCAGCAGACCTTTTTCCCGTCCGACTCCAATGAGCTTGAGCGCCTTTCTAAGCTACCTGATCCCTGGTAGGATTACACTGATTGATTTTGTGCCTGTGTGCATGCGCGAATGTATAGACACCCATAGCCAGCTTGTGTTCGTCCCTCCTTTGGTCTTTACCTCTGTCTTTGGTGGACATCGGCTCTGGATACTGCTTTTGGAGGATGCTTCTTTCCCACGCGCGCTGGCTCCTCCCCTTCTTTACTCCCATCAGACCGTGAGCACAACAAATAAGTGAAAAAGGAGAACGTGTCACAAGCTTGTATATGCCCATGTTTGAGGAGGATAGGGCCTCCCTGCGCTTTCAGGAACTCACTTGTATAGTTCACCAGACTGGTATGCTTTTGTTCTCTTCACTTATGTTAAAACCACCTAAAGCGCTCCACTTACCACTGCTGCTGTTAGCCGCGTTGACATTGCTGTAATTTGCATTTAGTTTCCTTTTTAACTTGTACACATCCATGGCGGCGTATCCGCCGTACTGTCTCCCATCCCCATATCCACCCTGACTCCCACCTTTCTCTTTCACCTCCTTTCGGCTTGATATCTCTTATTTTTTCATTAACCATAACTTGTGGCCCCTAGGATCGTTTACTTCTGCGAGTCTGTAATCGGCTTGGTGGATAGATACCCTAGTAGCCATGTTTGTTTCTTCCATCCGACCATACGCATACTTTGCCCAGCCGGGCGCTGTTTGGTGTACATTTTTGTATATTGAAGTGTAAGTTCTCGGAGGGGAAGAGAGAGGAGAAAAGACCGAGAGAAGGCTGTGCCCCCTGGCGATGACTCCAGCAGCGTGTTCAGCCTCTTCAGCGCATCGCACGTGATTGATGCTGGATGCAGCCAATTTTATTTATATACATAACAATCCGCGAAGATGGTACCCGAGCGGTTATGGAAGAAGGATAAAAGGGCAAATGGAGCCTGTTGCCTGGAAGGGACATCTGATTCTACTTGACGTCCTATCTTCCACGCACTTAGGCCTGCTCCCTCTGTCTCCTCCCTCCAGACTCCTGTTCGGTTAGCTTGCCAAACCTACACACTTTTGTAAAGCTGTTTATTTCAAACCAGAAAAAAAAGATTTCGAATACTTGATATTTTTCGATGAGGTTTTTGAGGGTTCGCAGGTGTGCCCATTTAACCTGACGGGCTCTGCGCTTAATGGGTGCTGTCTATTCCTGGTGACGGAGTTCTTTGGTTGGCTGAGCTTGTTATTTCCGTTTCAAATTAGTTCTGCAGTAGACATTTCCGGACTTCTGTATCAGAGCTACCGCTAGTACCTACTATAGGCTCTTAAGAGAACTTAGTGGAGTAGTGTTTTCAGAATCCTTTTTTTCCATTTGAACCTGTTAATGAAGGGGATTGGAAGACGACTAGGACAAATTTGTGCGTTACCTACCACTCTGACAGTCATGTACAGGACGGACCGCACGGCAGAGGAAAATCCCATCAGGAAGGCGGTCTCGGGCGCTATGTATTTACTGCCGGACGTTGTTGGCCTGCCAACATGTAGATCTTGCGTCTGCATGTTTCCACCACTCGCTGACGGCCTTGTGTACGCGCCTCTGTGTTTTCTGTCGTCAGACGTCTATTGACTCGAAAATACCCTGGTAAATAGTACTCAAAGTCCTTGTTTGGTCGGAATGACTGCCGGAAGCTCCAAGCTTTCACGCGCCGACATTTGACGCAGAAAGTAGCCCTTCATCCGCTCAAAAGTTGGGGTGACGTCTAAGCTACGTGTGGTCTGCTTGACTTAGGACTTTCAACCACCGGATCGTAAGATTTTAGAGGCTTCCAGAATGCCACTTGCTGTTTCGCTCGTGTACTGTATGCGCTTTGGGCCGAACGGATGTGAGCGTCCGACAGGGGTATGCCGTGTGTTTCCGCACGTTAGATTCAGCAAACTGGGGATTATGAAGACCTAGTTTGATGTGCACCGATCAAGAGTTTGGAAGCAGTCACCGTTTCGCTCAGTAAAACAATAATTATTGTTACATTGTGGGCATCCAGGGGCTCTCAAACGGCGTCAGTCGGGGGAGGGGTACATTTTTTAGGAAGTAAGTTCAAGCACCTCCTTCAAGCCAAAGAGGACAACAGTGATCGGCCGGCTACAGCGTGGATGTGTTTTTGCGTCTAGACCCTCGCCCGCCCTTCACGCAACTCCTGTTCCTTTGGTTTTCCAAGGCAATAAGAAATCATGCTAGAATCCAAGTTGAAGTGTGGCGGTGGCCAAATCACGCAGATGGAGGGCCGTTGAGATCACCGAAGTGTGATGTCGGCACGCATTAGGTTACGGGTATTTTCTCTGGAACCCAAGTGATTCTACCGATCATATTGTGCCCTCTGTTAGTGCGTCTGGATCTGGTAACGACATAAGCACTGGAACCTTTTCGGCCCTGCGATCTTACTGCAATTCAATGTCTCCGCTTGTAGTGCTGTCTTTGGAGAACATCTGAGTTATTTCGAGCCTTGACGTCAGTGGGGTGCCTGCTAGGATTCGATGCCCTCTCCTCCTAGTTAACCTGCTCGCCAATATGCTCAGACGACCGTCTTAGCATCTGATCTCGCTGTGGATAAGTCTAATCCTCCCTCAAGTGAATTTGCTCACACCATATCAGGTTACGCCGTTCAGTTATGGCATCTTGGACAAAATGCAGTCTTTACCGGTACTACTTCCCCCCCTCTCAGCGCCACCGAGTGTTTCTGAGACCCGGCAAAGCTATTGCTCTGACGTTTTGCAATAACCTACATGTTACCTGTGAAGAGGGAAGAATGTCTTGGCATCCATGAGTCTATGGAGGCTTTCGAACCCACCGCGCCTAGTGTGGCTGGGGATGTCCCATTTTGTTGTCTTCGAGTTCTTTCCAGCAGTCTTCCGTGCTGTCGTTCTTCCAGGAAATTTCTGCAGTTATTTAAACTTTAGAAGCCTGTCTAGTTTGGATAGTTATTGACTCATTGACGCGTGAAAAAGATGGGAAATGAATGCAATGCCAGCGAAAAAGTCGCACTTTCGGTGAAAGGCTAGGTCAACTTGGCGACTTACGATGTGATCAATGTAAGGCCGAGAACATCAACTACTCCGGGACCCATGCAATATGGTCGGGTGAGAGTTATAAGGCTCACATGTTAGGTCAGTCCTGGAAAGTCCGGCAAACTGGGGGCACTTGGAAACTTTCCATTGGGTGCCCGGCAAACCCACCTATACAGACATTGAGAGCCCGACTTATGAGACGTAATTTGAACATTCGTAAAATTGCGTCCTCACTAGGGGAGGCTGAATGTCTTAGATAGTTGAATGAGGATATAAGGGGCTACTCTTTTGCCGGCGTAGTTACACCAGCACAACATCCAGTATGACATCACTACCATCTGCCTTAAATTTCTCAGATTTCATTTGGACAAGATGGATATATTATTCTTGTTTTAAAAGTTGCGGTTAGAAGATGACTGTTATAGTTGGCGGGGGACGCAGGGTGTTTCAGTACAGCGATTCTGGTGATTTTATTCGGCTTGCATTGGATAGTGCTGAGATAATTCCGACCTAAAAATGGACCAGACGGGACGTAACGACCGGCAGCAGTTGATCGGGCGCACTCGAGCCTTTCATCTTTTCGATAGTGATGATCGAGTATTGGGGGTTCAAGGATCGCCTCTATATCGGTCCTTAAGAACTGTTTTTCGGTCGAGCGTCTCTTGGTTCCTTGCTGTGAGGCGGAGAAGTTCAGTTCACGATAGAAGCGAACAGGCGAGTTCCAGGAAGCAGTGCCGAAGAAGATGCGATCACTGGGACAAGACGTTAATTGGTCTGGAGTTTTCGATTATCGCTCAAACCCATCCCCAGAGTCGCAGACAGGAGTCATGAAGGCACAGGGCGTACAGTATTTATAAGACGCAGACGTCATGCCACTGCATGTCTACTCTAATTAACGGCTCCCCTGTCCATCGCCGGAGGTCTCATTTGGTGCTATGATTGCCTGTTAGTGTGCCGTTCTGGACTTTAAGGATTGTGCGCGTCTGCCATGTCATGATTCAGCAAACCATGGCCCTAGCGGCCTGGTGTGCGCTGGCGGTTCTCTCGTACCTGGATCCCTGCCGGTAGATACGCTTACCCTCCCACCGGGTATACAGGCCGTGTGCATGACTTTCCAGTGACTCGTGCCATCCTCTCCTCTTTCTGGCCAATTTTTGTTGTTGGTTAAAATCTTTGTCAAGTGTTCATTGTCGACCAGGGGGTGTGGTGGTACGTCTAGGTGAGGGTTCGATCGTGCCAGCCACATGCGCCTTCTCCCGCCTTCGGTCTTTTTGACACGTGACAGGTGGGACCCAGGTGGGAAGAAGGAGAGAGTGCGGCAGATGTTGCGCAAGTCCACTCTCACTATAAACAAATTCACGCGCAGGTCACCGTGCCTACTCTCGCCTTGCTGTGGAGCACACGCTGGACATCGTCGGGCGCGATGGTCTAGCTGTCAGTTAATTGCCATAATTTCATCCCCGTTGTTGGCTCTTTGCACGATAATTACCCAGCCATTTGGCTCGCTGTCACCAGAACTGTCAGTCGTCCGCGCCCCCCTCCCCACGATTGGCTAATTACTCTGCCCAGGAAGTCTTAACACAGTATATAGAGACGGGAGGTTATCGTGCTTACTAATGGGCTGCAGAACGGAGAATCATGTCTCAAGCACCAACAGCTTTTATCTCAGAAGGCAAGTGGCAGAGGGTGTGCCCAAGCGACTTAAGCATCCTTTTAAATGATCTTGGATGTCCTCGTCGAATGTCGCCGTTGTCTGCCGGTGGTGGTTGGAAACCTTCATTTTCTGCTCTCCTTTTGCCCACACAACCGCATACACGTAACCACAGGTAGACAGTCGCGGACGGATACCCGGTCGGCGCGGAGCTCTGTGACGACTGAGCTGTCGCGGCAAGTCCGTAGATATTTTCGAAGGCTAACGTCGTCCTATCATGTTTGTCTGGTAAAGTTTAGCCCCAGACACTTCGACTTCAGACTGGTCAGGGATGCAGTTTGAGAATAATTTGATTCTTGGACAATTATGGATAAACTGACAGAGGAAATGGCCTATTTCGCTCGAGATACTACACACTGCTAATAGAAGAGAAGAGACGAGGAAGAGGATAACCAACTGACATTATTGGATGTCCTCGTATACCGCAAAGATTTTGGTGGCCTAAAGACCAATGTGTTCAGGAAAGCGACAAATACGATGCGAGTACTGAACTTCAACAGCAACCACCCAATCAGCCACAAACACAGTTGCGTGAGGACGCTCTATCGGCGTGTCGAAACGCACAGCAGTGGGCCGGAAGACAATATTGCCGAACTACAATACTTCGACGGGTCTTCAAAGCCAATGGCTACCCGCGCAACTTCGTCAACCGGTGCATACGCAAAAATAGACGAAAGGCCAAACCGCACGGACCCCAAATTTTGGCGAGCGCTTCCGTATGTTAAGAACGTTTCGGAAGCTGTCGATCGCCCTCGCACCACTTGGGGCTGGAGTTGCACACAGACCGGAGGCAACCATCAGGCGTCAGGTAATGAAACCGAAGGACCCGCTGCCACAGCAAGAAACACCCGGAGTCATTTATGGGATCTGGTGCGGTTGCAGGCAAAGCAACTACGTCTGAGAAGCCGGAAGACAGCACCGAACGCGAATGGCCGAACACGCTGCAGCAGTGCGGAGAAATGACGCCAGCTCTCAAGTTGCGGCTAATTCGACGAGATCCGGCCACACATTCGAATTCGAAGAGGCCGAAATTCTCGCTAGAACTGACAACCGCGTGAGCCGTGAGCCGCTTGAGTCGTGGTTCACTGGCTCCCAGTCTATTAAGAAGTGCAACGACCTTCCCCTTCCATACTCAGTGCTGAGACTTCTCCTAGGCGGAGTAATTAGTCACGCGGGGAGCACACAGGTGGACACTGTTCCCAACGCCAGGGTCGGTGGGTCAGTTGGTCGAATAATCATCACACCAACATTTAACACGTGATGAAATTTCAGCAATTAATGACGCGAATGTCGGCCATCAAACATTCATCCCACCAAGTGTAACGATCCGGTATGAAGAGGGGCGTGAATACTCACAGGTATGCGGTAGCATGGCGACTGCATCCTATAAATACTGTGGCCCCTTGTGCATGAACTGACCGCATTTGCTATTGTCTCTGATGATGGGTTAGAGCAGGAATACGGAACGTCAGGCGAATGAAGTTCTTGTCCCGGCGATCGTGTCTCCTTCTTCACATACTGCACACTATAGACCCCCGCAACTTGATGGTAGCAGAACGTTGGCATAGGCCGTTTGTGTTGGAGAATAGTTTGATTACACTTTTGCCACGTGGAAAGAGGCTAAACCGGATCGAATGTTGCAGCAAAGTCAACGGAACAAGCTGTCTGTGGGCTGCTCACAGTCTGGATGGAATAATTTTAACATTGAATTATGTGGCCAATACATCCACATCCCGTTCAGAACGGTGAACCATATTAAAGTCTCATTATGTATGATCATCTAAAATATGCAGACGTTTAGACAGAGTATGGGTTATTACGGTCGTTTTTCCCTCATCCGCTAATACCACTGTTGACTTCAACGGTGAGAATCCATGACTCTAACAGTCAATGCCCCTAACACTGCGAGGAAAGTCTGGCTGCCTGATTCGTTACCGATCTTCCCTATAGAGCGATATTCAGCCATTACAACCTAACAGCGGTGGTTGAGCAAGCGATCTTCTGCCACCTTTTTTCATGAAATAAGTTAACCTTCGAAAAATTCCTCCCTCATTTCAGCTGGAACCTGGCTCCTCAAAATTGGACAGTGGAGACTTCCAACGGCCTTCTAATTCCCTTTGAATACGCCGTCTCAGTAACGTTGAACGGCTGTCTTTATTTCGTGCTCTGGTTCTTGGCAGTGTCTACACAGCCGTTGTCACCATGGTAATTGCTGTTTTTCATCCTTAATAAGTCCGCAGATGTAGATGTGCATAGCCTAATATGAGTATGCTTTGACGCGTACTCCTAACAAGGACAGATCATTCCTGGTTTCCTAGGTTGTGGACTTATGCAGCTGTTTGTGGGTTGCCGCAAGTCCTTTATAAATGCTTAAAAAACAGTCAGTGCCGAAAAAGAGCCCCTTGTTCCAAACTATTTGAATGCTTACCGATTGTAAAGATCCAAATCCTGCCCCGCGATGATAGTGAAAACCTCGTCTACTCATCTGGTGAAGACCGATGTACTTCCTTCAAACTCTGTATCCATAGGTCCGCCTTCAGATGATCCATCGGCCGCTGCTTATCTTCGCACCACGGGAAACGACAATGAGGGGATTGTGTCGGTGAAGTTATCTCCAAAAACTGCTGCCTGTCGACTTGTGTGTGTGTGAACTTCTCCATCAGATCCTCGCCCTCAGAGCGTGCTATTGTACGAGAGAAAATTTGTCGCAATAGATCGTGCTGGCGTTGCCAACAGATGCAGAAGCAGCTACGATCTCAAAGGCGTTCACACCAGTACACTTTCTCGCTGAGGCGTAAGTTGGGCAGGCGAGGGCAGCTGTGGTGATGGCGGCGGCGGAGTCGGTGGTGGTGGCGACGACGACGGCGGCGGTTGCTAGCCGAGGCGACTGTGGCAGGCTCAGTGCAGCGCGCGCGCAGGCAAGCCGTTGCATCGATCTTGACCAATCCGATGGCTAACGAATTCTGGCAACCAATCAGCTTGCTCGTCCGACGCCGACAACTGTCGCCGAAGCTCCGCCTCTATCACGTGACCTCACAGTCTGATTACGCGTTAACAGTCGGAGGGCGTCATGGTAACCTGCTTGCCAGCTAAAGTAAATAAACCCCAAACTGGTGTTTTAGTGAGGTCTCTGCATACTTCGGCATCTCTAACTGCCGACCTGACAGTGTTACTCATTTCTGGTAGTTATGACAATTGCATTACCTTCGTGTAAAAACGGGGGTACATGTCTCAGTCCCTGCTAGGGTCCGGACCTGAAACCTTTTGGCCATTGTACATCAGGTCAAATTTTGCACGTTTACGTCATGTCGGTAGAGCAAAGCTTGCGTTTGATTCAATGCCCCGATCGCAACCGACAGGGTCAAGACCCTACGTTATCCGCAGCTGTAATTGAGTACAAGGGTCTGACAATTTCCAGACAACATTTTCTGCGATGGTTCTTAACAGAGTCCCATGACAAAAAGAAGCAAGCATGTTCTTTACGCAATTAGATCAGCCGAGCATCATGTGCATAAAAGATGCTTCTAATTTCCGAATCTGGAGTCGTGTAGGCTGAGAGTAAGCGCACAGGGTAAACAATCAGTTAATTGAAACGGCCGTGTGCGTGTGTGTGCGTCATCCCTGTTGGGGTGTTGTTGTTGTTGTTGGTCAAAAGCCTGGTCATTTGCTGTGTTGACCAGGGGGTGTAGAATGGAACGCCAAGCTGCGGGCTCGACCGTGCCATCCACCTGCACCCTCCACCGCCTCCGGTCTTCTCGACTCTGTCTTGACACCGGACCCAGGTGGGGAGTGGGGAAGAGAAATTGCGGTAGATGCTGCGCAAGTCCACATTCACCTTAAACTAATTCACGCACAAGTCACCGTCCCTCCTCCACCTTGCTGTGGAGCTCACGGTGTACATCGTCGGCAGCGACGGTTGAACTGTCGTTTGCGCGCTACAAGGTGGACAATGCTGCTCTCAGCTAGACCCGGTTCACCGAACAAGGCCAACTAGAGGAGGTGGGTGCCGGCTACGCCTTCTTCTGAAGCGACTGTCCAAAGGCAGAGCGACGCGACGCCAGCGTCGCCTTTGCCATCCGGAACAACATCTTGGGATGACTGTCCTGTCTGTCGCTGGGTATCAGCGATCGCCTGATGAGCCTCCGCTTGCCTCTCCAGGGAGGTAAATTTGCCACCATCATCAGTGTCTACGCCCCCATAATAACCAGCTCCGACACAGCGAAGACTAAATTCCACGGTGAATTGCGCGCCCTCCTGGCGTCTGTGCCGAAGGCGGATAAATTGATTGTCCTTGGTGACTTTAACGCCCCCGTCAGCACAGACCATGCTGTCTGCAGAGGAGTGCTGGGTCCGTATGTTCTCGGCTGCTCCAACTACAATGGCCTGCTCCTCCTACGAAACCCCGCAGAACACCGGCTCATCCTGAATAACACCTTCTTCCGCCTTCCGATGCGAGAGGAGGCCACCTGGATGCAACCGCTGTCGTGACACAAGCACCTGCTGGACTATTTACTCGTCCGGCGGCGAGACCAGCGAGACGTGTTTGGTGACATCAACCAACTGCTCTCCGAAAAGCACAGGCTGCACAAAGCTTTCACGAACCACTGGACAGACGCCAACGAAGCGGTCTTATTCCGCTATCTTCGCATCGTGGGGCATCGAGCGAGGGAGGTGCTGGCCGTCTGGATGATCCACAAAATTAAGGAAATACAGGGTATGTCAACCGCCATGCACTCAAGAAATTATTAGAACCACTCAGGCCTATCTACGCCCCCCTCTCCACGTTTCCAACTAAAGCAGCCACGTCAATTCTCATCTCCAATAGATCAACGCTTCTGATGGATAAATCACAGATGCTGAGGGACCGTGTCGAGCACTTCAGAAGCGTCCTAAGCCACCCCCTCCCCCTTACAATCTCCGACCGATGAATAAAAACCTAGATCTGCCGACTTCCCTCTCAAATCAATACGCACCGTGCAATAACTCCCCAGCTGGAAAGCAACGGAATCTGACGCGATTCCGGCTGAAACCTACAAAGACGGTGGTCCCCAGCTCATGAATAAACTCAAAACGCTATTCTACGAAATGTATCACCACTGACAACTTCCCCAGGATTACAAGGATACGACAATCGTCCACCTCTACAAACGGAAGGGAAACCGGCAACTGTGTAATAATCATAGAGGATAAGATGCAGAGGCGATCGCTGGAACAAGAGCTTTATTCGCCTGATGTCTCGTGTTCTCGCTCGAACCCATCATCAGAGACGGTGACAGAAACGGGTGATTCGTGCACAGGAAGTTTCAGTACTTATGTGATGCAGCCGCTATGCTACTGCATACCTATGATAATCAACCGCTCTCCCCCTCATCGAGAATTGTTGCCCACTGGTGCGCTAATTGCTTTATGGCCGGTATGCAAGTTGTTGACTGCCGAAATCTCATCAGCCGTCTTGGATGCTGACATGATGATTGCTAGGCCATCTGGCTCACCACCTCTCACGCAAGTGGGAAGTGTGCTTTTCGTTCACTTTCCCCGTGTGGTTCCTCCGCTGCATGTGGGATTCGATCGTTCTACGCCTTATATGTGAAATCTTGGTTTATGCGTGCGAGCGGCAGGTCGCATGTGCCACACGCGCAGAGGAGCCTTTCTCAGCCCTATCAACTACCCCTCCCAATCACAACATCAACTGACTGCCAGACTTGGACAGTCGACTGGTGCACAGGACAGGGTAGAGTGAACAATGTCGACCCTCAGCGCCTATTCCCCACTACGAGCACTCTGACATGCTTAAGACTAATACGGTGCGTTAGAAGCCGTGGCTTGGAAGGTTGCCGTCTGACGCTCCAACTCAGACCTCTCAGCCAGTCCGGTTGTGTGTTTGTAAGTAGAGTGGCTGAGTGGTGAGCTGACAGTCGGACTTCGATGGCCCCTTCTTAATGGTGCTTTCTCACACACGTTGAGATCCGAGCGTTCTACCCTCTTAAGTAAACATAATGGCAGTTTCATGCAGGTAAGACATGAAGTTCGTAGAAAGGAAAGTATAATGGCAAAGAGGCTTCAGGTCACCCGTGTAGTTGGGTAGGTCGGGAAGGACTAATCTGTTGAATTTAAATGCTACCATAGGCAATTACCTAGTGGAGTTACGACTGCCCCAGCATAAGCCCACCCTCAATTGCATTGCGCTCTTTGAAGAGCGTTTTGTTCACCAAAAACAGGGAGAGATGGCCGGGAAGATATTCGCAATTGCAGTAGAATAACGTTGCCGACAAAGACAAGGGAGCCTCGGACGCCCCTCTACTAAAGGTAAAAGTTCTATTCCGGAAGTGACGTTTTAGCTACGCTATGCGAAACACATTCCCGGGCTTTCAGCCAATATCTGTATTGAATCAGTTGGTATCTGCATAAAATACTGTCAAGAGTCCAGACGAGCTCTCTAGCCCCGCCAGCCACTGCGCCCACTTCCGGCATCAGACACCTGACCGGCTGGGACAGTGGGCTGGCGCCTGTTAGTAGGAAGAGTGAGGTCGATGGTCACGGCGCATAGTTCTCACTCTAAAAAATCTCACGTGCTGTAATCTATCATACTGTACTAAAAGTCGCGCCTTGGAAGGGTATCAACTGACGGGATAACTTGGACCTCGCAGTCAACCCTGTGTGTTTTGGACGGTGTGGCTGACTAGTAGACTGAGAGTCAGGCGGCAGTGGCTCCTTTTTGATATGATCTCCATGGCACTCCCACTCTGTGGGATCCGATCTTCCTCCCTTTTTGCTGTTGTGTACAATCCTGGTCAAGGGTTTTTTGCGGACCAGGGGGGTTTGGTGGTACACCTGCGCCCTCTCCCGCCTCCGGCCTCCTTGATTTTGTCTTGACACGGGATCCAGGTGGAGAAGAGCGGAGAATGCGATAGGTGCATCTAAAGTCTACCACCACTTTGGACTAACTCACACGCATGCCACCGTCCCTGCTTTCACGGTGTATATGGTCGAAATTGACGGTCGAACCCTCGTGTGTGCAATCAACTGGGAATTAGAGACGTCCTAAATGATGATACTGCCACGTCTTATTGAGGAATGCCTGTGCAAAGCGCTGACTGTCATTCAATCACCTCTCTGGTTCAGCCTATCTTCACTTCTCCGCTTCTGTAAATGCATTTTTAATGGCCCTGATTGCAAACCTCTGTAAAAATAACAGTTTTCTTTTCCCCTACATGTTTGCTGTTTGGACTTAGTTGTCCTAAAGGAATGAGGAGCTAAGGTAACTTTAACATCAAGTGAGTGAATGGTCTTGTCTCTTTTCGTAGAAGTTTGTGCTTGCTTGGCTCCAATTACTGAGTAAATTCAGCAAGGGGTTGCGTTTATTGAAAAAAATTGACTGCCTCTTACTGCTCAGAAAAAATTTAAGAATCGGGGTTCTATAGGTGTCTTGCAAGTAGTCACTACACATATTTTCCCACATCCGCCTCCAAAGGGAGGCAATTCGGTAACGATGGGGTGTAGGGCCCACAAGTAAGTAGCAACTACAAAAATATACCCTAAAATCCAGCGTGACTGTAAGCATCACTTTTCCCTCACCGTTTCCATTGTTTGAAATCCCCTTCCCTTCCTGACTAAGTGTAAACTTACCAGCGGCGCTTTACTCAAAGTCTGTTATTTTTTGAAAATTGCCTTTTGTTTATTTTTAAATTATCGTGCTTTCTTTCCTTGCACAATGACAGCGTACGATAAGACTTTCGGCAGAAATTTATCTATTTTCTGTGTCGTCTTGCTCTTCGTCCTATGTGTTGCCGCACCCGTAAAACCTCTTCTGCTACAATTCAACGTATGATACGGCCCGCAGGCTAACTCAAGTTACTTGTGGGTTCTACATCCTATCGTTACCGGCAATTCCTTTTAAAGAGGTATCCACTGAGGAAGGCAGAATTACTCGAA